CACGCGTTGCATTCCCACGCGTTATATTGCAATCTTCTGAATCACCTCGCGTTATATTGCAATCCTTTGAATCACCACGCGTTGCATTCCCACGCGTTATATTGCAATCTTCTGAATCACCTCGCGTTATATTGCAATCCTTTGAATCACCACGCGTTGCATTCCCACGCGTTATATTGCAATCTTCTGAATCACCTCGCGTTATATTGCAATCCTTTGAATCACCACGCGTTGCATTCCCACGCGTTATATTGCAATCTTCTGAATCACAACGCGTTATATTGCAATCCTTTGAATCGTCACGCGTTGCATTCCCACGCGTTATATTGCAATCTTCTGAATCACCTCGCGTTATATTGCAATCCTTTGAATCACCACGCGTTGCATTCCCACGCGTTATATTGCAATCTCCTGAATTGCCACGCGTTATATTACAATCCGCTAAATCGCCACCCGTTATATCGCAACCCGTTAAATAACTACGCGTTATATCACCATGCATTGTATTACTGTTGGATTACTCTAGATAGGATACATTATACCTAGATATATTTTACTGCAAATGAAATACATTATATCTACATAGGATATTAATTCGATGAAACATAAGATTGTTAATTATGCTTTTATCAAACTTTCAATGATTATGCGACTAATTCGTTCTACATTTCAGATATTCTTCATTCTGCGCAAGAAAGACAGTCAGGTGACGTTCTTGCATTTGTACCACCACTCGTTGACGCCTCTGGAGACGTGGATCTGCGTAAAATTTATCGCTGGAGGACATGGTACACTTGGAAACCTTATAAACAACGCTGTACACGTGATAATGTACTTGTACTACATGGTGTCCGCTATGGGACCCGAGTACCAGAAGTATCTGTGGTGGAAGAAACACCTGACCACTGTGCAACTGGTAACCATATTGCTTAATCGAAATCTTTCAAATTCCTTATGATACATGGTGAATGCGATCGACTATTCACAACTTGATACATTAATTACTATATTTTCTTTAAGCTCCACAGTACTACACCGATGGATTTCTTTATTTTTGAACCTTAATTTTTAACCTGTCGCTGCTAACAATACTCGACAAACATCAAACAGCAAAGTGTTCAAATTACTCAACATGTAGAATTAAATCAAACTTGTTTGAAACTTCCAAATATTTCAGACGTTCAGATCTCTCGTTCGAAAAGACTTGATGAAACTTCTCATTGAAAATGAGAAAACTCTCATCCTGTTTGAAAATGCATACCAACAGAAAAGTTTGATGAAACAAAGTAATAGAAACAGACAAAGTACTTGAATATAAAAAGTACTCGAGTATCAGAAGTTACAAGATTCGGAAGTTGAATCAACGGAATCAGATCTAGCATTTGTGCACCGTACACGTGACTCCAGATCGCGCAACGAGCAAATACTTCGCAGACCAAGATTCGCGATACCTTCTTCTTGCACAACTCGCCAAGCTGGATAATAATCCGCTTCGATGAAAGTGAGCGGACCTAAGCGGACGGGAACGCAGGGTGCATCGAATGCACGGCCGCTTTTGACAACACCGGTTCAACGAATAAACATTGCGACAATCGATGATCGAATAACGGGAGAAGGAAACGAATCCAACGTCTACTGGACCAAAACCTAGACTTTCGTCATTGTGTGCAAATTACGCTGAAGCGCTGATTGGCTACCATTGAGTAACTGCCGTAAAGTTAACACGTTTCACGCCACGTGCACTTTAAATTTAAGGTTTATGACTAACGTTTGAAACTTGGCTCAATCATTATATCGTTATGCTCCGTTAGGAAAAAATTGAATATTCGGTGCGATTTCGCTTTAGGTGGAGGTAATGATTAATATTTTTTCAGACACTTTCAAAGATCAGTCATTGCTCGATGAATTACAAGATTCCGCGGAGTGAATGTTGCAGAATACAGTTGACTCTCGTTATATCGCGTCATCGAGATTATGGGAGCGGAAAATATTGGGATACGGTGCTATTCTTGGTTTATAATTCTATGTAAGATTATGTGACAAACAATGGGGCATATTGGATAATATTTCAAATTATCTGAAACCAGTTTTGAGTAAATTGAGGGGGTTTATAAAACAAGAATAATTTTCTGTTTGATTAAAAGTTCAAGCCATGTCTTGCAATAAATGCAATAACTCTTGCATTACATGAAATTAAATTTCAGTTAAAAAACACCTGTAGTTCTCGAATAATTCTCTGAATCTTTAGTTGTTTATTAAAATTACTCGAATCAGTTTTATTCGAAATTTGAGTCATAAAATGTTTTGAAATATTTTCAGAAGTTCATCCAAAAGTCTTACAATAAATACAATAACTCTTGCATTACATGAAATTAAATTTCAGTTAAAAAACACATATAGTTCTCGAATAATTATCTGAATCTTTAGTTGTTTATTAAAATTACTCGAATAAGTTTTATTCGAAATTTGAGTCATAAGATGTTTTGAAATATTTTCAGAAGTTCATCCAAAAGTCTTACAATAAATACAATAACTCTTGCATTACATGAAATTAAATTTCAGTTAAAAAACACATATAGTTCTCGAATAATTATCTGAATCTTTAGTTGTTTATTAAAATTACTCGAATAAGTTTTATTCGAAATTTGAGTCATAAGATGTTTTGAAATATTTTCAGAAGTTCATCCAAAAGTCTTACAATAAATACAATAACTCTTGCATTACATGAAATTAAATTTCAGTTAAAAAACACATATAGTTCTCGAATAATTCTCTGAATCTGTAGTTGTTTATTAAAATTACTCGAATAAGTTTTATTCAAATTTTGAGTCATAAAATGTTTTGAAATATTTCCAACTGTACACACAAGTATAATTACACATAAGAAAATTATATACTGCACTATTTTATATGGAGTCATATTTTATATAAAAATCCGAGCATATGAAAGTCAAAATGACTGCAGCGCTGCGTGACCCACAAAAGATTTACGAAACTTTTGTTGTTCACTACCCACGGTTTGCCGACCTGCATACACCAGTGACTGGTAACTGCAGTCTCAAAGGCGCCGCACATCGCGCAAATATCAACTTTAAAATTCTTATATTTCAACACTACCAATTCCTGAATTTATTAATTCAAAAATTACTTTGAGAATTTCTAAATTCGTAAAGTTGAAAATTTTTAAATACTGTTTATGACATCAAGAGTTTATAAACTTGCACTGTCGATTAGAAAAGAACCCTTAATATTGTGTCAGCTTTAAGAGCCGTATGCAGTATATCCAGAGGGCGCTGCTAAATCCGAGGGTGACAATAAAACAAGAGTCTACTGTAGCAAGAAAAACCGACCTCTCCAAACAAACGCAACTTTCTATTTTCAAACCCCGCTTATCAAAGTACCTAACCAGTCAAATTCGAACGACTTATAACAGATCTCCCGCTTCTAAACCTTTCTCTAACTCTAAACTATTTCGAAATCGATTAACTCTTCCACACTTTCGAGAACTTTGATCCAAGTAAAATGTCGCAACGTTAACCATCAAATAGTCGTTAGCCGCTCGTTATCCTGTATCAGCTCGATTCAAAGTCCAGAAACCCAGAAGATGTGACAATCGCATTCGCGAAACGCAAGGACGCGTAGGAAGAGGCGAGAAGAATCCAGAAGATCGGGTTTGTGGTCGCGGATTCTGGGCCAACGGTGCAAGTCTGTTGGACAAAATTTCACGTGTGCCCAGGAGTGAGGGAAAAGTGAAAAGTACAACGTTGGGCAACTAACTTGCTTTGGCCGGACTCGACCGACTACGGTGGCGCAACAATTTGGCATTCCGATATGCCATGTAGCACCGTACCACCACCATCGCCATCACCATCGTCGGCTCTGAGCTACCATGAACCGGCTGCATGCCTACGAAGCCTCACCTACATGCCCGCCTATTTACCTTTATCTCTCGATTCATGCTGCCCAAACCATACTTGCCAAACGATCACATTTAACCATATAATATCCATAAATTTTCTGCGGAACTGTGCAATCGATTTGATTGGCAAAATTGAAGCTTACGCTGTTTCAGACCGGGTGCTTGGGTCAATATGAATGCCATGTGCACGTTAATGTGTTGAATGTTCGAAGAATCTGGTAATTTGAGGTAGTCTAAGAAGTCGATTCGTCGGTGTGGAAATAGTGTGGAGACTTATTGATATTAGAATTGATGATCACAGGAAGTAGATGGCAGCGAGAGATTAAATTTGAATGATGGAGTTTGGGAATTGGATGAAAATGTTCTTCGTACTTAGGATGCGATTTCAAACTTTATGGACAGTAAATTTTTAACTTTCTAAATAGAGAGTCTAACTTGGGAAATAGAACGTATTCGCTCGCTCCGAAACATCTTGTGACTGGTGCATGGTTGCGAACGGACTTATGGTCCTCGGTGTCGCGACATCGACCAACGTCCAATCGACCGACTGACCAGTTCTTAATGTTTTATATCACTTATGGGCAGATCGGTACAAAAGTTCATGTGAGAAAGAGAGCGGTACTTCCCCACTTCTGACAATTAAACATAATGTGGCTACAGCATATCGATGCTCGCGAGTGCACACTACCATAGCGCCCCTCGCGGACGTACTCCACAAAAGCTTGAAACATTTGAAAATTTGAAGATCTCTACAGAAAACTCCCGATTTTGTCAATCAAAGAAGAACGATATACAAGATACCAATCTGCCAATCACCAAAGCTATTTGTACCGCATGCGTTACTAAGTGGCATAATTACTGACAAATAACTCCTATAAAAAACAATTTTGTCATTATTCCCCTTCACTTGACTCTGAAGAAAAGGTCAAGGTTCCTTTTAGCATCAACCGTCTATTTGCACGATAATTATTTTACGAGTGTCGGTAAAATTGTACGTTTTGTAATTACATGTTGAATGTACTTTCTATACGACTGAATTTTAAAGGACACCCGTTTGCCCAAACAGGACGAACGCAAAATGTTTTCCATTATTCCTGATCGTTTTCACCGTGGTAAATAACGCGGAGTCCATTAATTTGTACGAGTAAACTCGCGTATCCTCGTGGCACAATTTGGCTTGCGACACTTTGCACTTTTCATGCGAGGAGAAAGGCACGAACTGTTTCTAAGCTACATATCACCACCTCTAATGCCACTCAATTTTAAGATACTTAGCGGTCAAATTCAGCAATCGTGTCAGAGGAAACAATTATTGCTATAAATGGTCTTAATGCTAACTTGCGAGCTACCGTAGCAAGGTACTTAACGAGTAAACGTTTTAGCAATGAGGAGAAAAAGTACTGCAAACAACGTAGAACTAACGTTTATAAACTGCAGCGTGTTTACGTACTGACAAAATTTTGCAGCAATCATGTGACAGGATAAAGATCGTCGCTAAACAAGATGCGGGTCAATTCTTCAGGATAGCTTCAAAATTCTCCAAAATATTCTTGAAGAAGTTTAACGACAATAATGCTTAAGAGACCCGTTAAGAAAGACAGAGTCTTAAAAATAAAATGACATCACTATCACTGAATTTTAAAATGATCCACAAAAAAAGAATTTCAAGAGTCATAACAGCGAAGGAGATCCTCAAAGAAAAAGTAATAGAAACGCTTCTACGATGTTACTCAATTTCAGTTAAAGCGAAAATATTTCAGCAATCGGTGGAGAAAATAACATTTAGTTTCTAAGTTACCACAGACTAATAAAATATAAAACTCACCGAAAGTCTCACAGCTCAATCTTCCGTTTCATTTCCAGCTGCAGTTCTTCCTGGTGTTCGTGCACAGTGCCCAGGCCTTGATCTTCGATTGCGGATATCCGAAGCTGGTCGCAGCTCTTCTTCTTCTTCACTCGACCATCTTCTTCGTCCTCTTCTCCGACTTCTACCGGCGGGCGTATAACACGAGCACAACGAAGAAACAACTGAAGGGCGAATAAAGGAAGCAACATTAACGAACACCGTGCCGAATTTGATATAATACTCGAAGTGAAATATTTGGGATGTTTTTCAGAATGGGTCATTAGTCTTTCAGAATTTGATCGGATTTTGAGGGGTAGTGATAATGGGTGCTGGTGAGCACTCATGTTTTGAAAAACAGCCTTTTCTTCCGTTAGGGAGAGTTTCACTCGTTATATCTAGTACAGCTGTCGTTCGATAATTTCTCGTTTACAGGGCTGTAAAGAAACAAAATATTCCAAAGTGGACTTTTTTGAAAAGTAGAGAATTGAGGGTTTGAAGTTTTGAAGTTTTCAAAGATTTGAAATTTTCATACGAGTTAAATGTGACAGTCTCGGTATTTCCTTGCGCTGAGGGCTCCAAAGGTGAACGATTTACAAAGAGTCAAAAAGTACAAATGAAGTGTTTCTAATTAAAATTTTATGTAAAAGAAAAATGTCGAGATACTAAACATTCACTGTCATGTGAAGAATGTTAATCAGGAAATATGGAATTATCGAACGGTTGCTGTATCAATCAGAACATCTCAGGTCTCGCGAACAGCTCGGACCAGGGCTTCCGAAGCACTCGACTTTTCAAATTCGAAACAGTAATTTTAATAATAAATATGCTTTCAAGTATTTGACCTTTCTCGTAATTAAATAAGTTCAACCCTTAAGTAAATACAGTTTCTCTTTGCTTTTTGGCTCGGTTTGTCTGACCGCGAGAAAGTGCATCGAAACCCCAGTATCGACGTAGCTTCGTACATCGATCGGTCCTTGGTGTCGTTAATTTAATTACTTCTTTCGTATTCTAGATGCTTGTGCATCGCCAGGTCTGTAATTAAGGTTACTGTAAATATAGGGGTAGTATTAGCATGTTGGAATAATAACACCCAACGGATCTATTTAAAATATCGCGAGTTTCGAAAGGATTGCGCGTTTCTTATCGAAAAAATACGGTAGACTCTCGTTATGTAGCGATGCCACATAAAATCATAAAATCCACAAAAACTGTTACAAAATGTTACAATATATTGTACAACTGTTACAATATTATAATAGAATTTAATTTTATTGAGCGCTATAAAAAAATTTGCCTTATTCAAAGAATTTCTACCGCTACCCTCCATAGCAATATAACCAAAGTCTACTGAAAAAAAGGAAGAAGGTTATAAAAAACAAATATTTCACCAATAAGAAATCGCGCAATCTATGGATGAGTTGTTAGCCGAGGTGGCTCTCGCGAACGTCCAAGCTCAATCTTTTCTTGTATCTACAATAATTTATACGGTTCTTAATGTATTGTTGAAAGTACTTAAGCGATGAGTCGTAAATAGGTGACATTCGCGTTGCTGCACCCCAAGTCACTGACACGACAGATATTGAAAATGAATTCAGAAGAATTCAACATGAAAGAAATACCCTTTTGCTAAAATTAATTTGTACGATACTTCAATTCAGGATTGCGAATTTTATTTACTAAACAACCCCCGCAGTCCGCGCTAAAGATGCCAAAAGTCAGTCTTCTACTCTGAAACTTCTATACAGAATTGCTATGATAACAATAGTGACAATGTCAGCATAAAGTGCAGAAACGTAAATAGACGACAAAGTCACGCACACGTGTACATACACACACACATACACACACTGCATACGATTTCAAAAGTACGAAATTCCTCTCATTTGAAGGAATAGCTGATGAAGTCAGTTAGCCGAAAGCTTTGCTTTGTCGTACGTGAACTGTTTGAGGAAAGCGTCACAAGGTCTTGTCTCTCCCGCTGCCGACTCCGCAATGCGGTAAACGTTCGATGGCCACGCGAATGTGTTTGACGATAAGCGAAGGGAGAGACAAGTCGCTTCTCGCTGAACATCTTCAAAGACCGAGTACAACGTAGGCTTCCTTCGGTTAGGGCGGGGGGTGAAAACCACCCTCCTGGTAAAGATTAACCTCGAACCACCTGTCACGTAATAGACACTCTTTTAACTAAAGGAAGTCTACGCTGCGTACAACTTAAATAACACTTACTCGGTTGGTCGTGACACGACGAATTGTTAACCATAAGGAGCAGTCACTCGTAGACACGTGAGCTTCCAGCTAAAAGCTGGCAGAGCATAGACACTTTCTACCTTATCGATTCTCTGGATACACCCTATCTCAGAGGGATGAACAGGGATGCTCATTTAGGGGAGAGACTGCTCCGATTAGCGATACGTTTATTTTGTTAGGAGTTTATTTCGTTGGACCTGATCCCATGATTGTAATTTATTAAACAAGCGACGAAACCCTCTTGTAAATATGTAATTCCTTATATTTCTTTCTGCTTTTGTAATGACAAATAATAAATACTATTAAGTTACACGTATGTTCAGGAACCTGTCTTTTGATTGTGTTTGAAATAATAAAGCTTTATGAGAGAAATACCCTGGAGCTCTGATAGAAAAGTAAATTGAACGAGTATTATTTTTTTAAGAATCTATCTGTAAAGTTGAAATCATTTTCAGATTAGTGTAGTTTGCATATGTGTTAGCACTTAGGTAGTCTAATTTCAAGAATTTAGGAGATATTAAAAGTAATAGCATTTCATTTATCTAGCATGTAATGAAAAAACAGTATATAACAGTAACAATAACAATGATAATACTAACAGCCATGATAATATTTACAATATTCACTGATTTATACCACTTAGCTTTTTATTAAGATTTATTTACAGTGATAAAAAGCTGAACTTTGTATACGTAAGTATTGAATATTTTCTAATGATAAATAATTTGTAAATAGAGTCAACTTCTAAGCAGCTGCTTGTAGAGCTTTCTGTTTCTTCTCTTGCCGAACAAGAAGCCTACGTTCTCTTTCATACTCTTTCATCCGCAAGACATAGCTGCAACACGTATTTATTACAATTATAATATGTTAATACTTATATTAAATATATTTACAAAACTATAAACAACTTACTCTTCAAATTCGCAGTCTGCATACTTGTGCTGGTATTTCTCACAAGGAAGGTAGAATGGAAAATTAAGTCTCATACAACCAACAAAATCCAAATAGATATGAGCACAATAATCCCGTAGATCTAAAGGAACTTTTGCTGCAATCATTTCTTCTTCTGTCGCTTTCATAACTGTGAAATTTTTAAGTATCATAAATTAATAACTAATCTTAACTTTAAAAGACTTAAATTATTTAACAATTAATTTTCTCTTATTGTACAACTCTTATTTGTACAAAATTGAGAAAGATAAATTGAAAGTATTCTCAACATAGTTATGTCACTGATAGAGTATATATAATACAAAAAAAAATATGACAATATAATAAAAAAAAACAAAAAACAATAATGAAAAGTACCAAGTACACTGTTTAAACGATCGTAAAGAAATGAATATAAGACATTGTTTAAGTAAATATAAAACAATGGAAAGGAACGTACATTTATTGAAGGTTAAGTTAAAATGAAATACTTACCTCTCTGTTTACGACCTTTAGGAAATCCGAGCATGGGATCAAATTGTGGAGGTCCATCAGTTTCTGGGTATGGACCCGGATGAAAATAAGTCTGTACTGTATTTCCCATTTGTATTACAGCAATTTAAAAAATTACAGAAATAATATACAGTTCGAGGTGAGATGCTGACATCTAGGAATGGTACCTTACGTAACTCGTGTAAAGCTGGTGTATGTATGTATTTTCATACACAACATAAAAAAGGTATATGTAATTCTTTTTGCCACTAAAAATAATAACAACGTTACATAAATAATAAACTTTAGACATGATTATCATTTATTAATAAAAACACAAATAAAACTAAAAATCATTATGCTGAAAGATCGTTTATGTAAAGAAAAATCAATTCATTTTTGAATAAGTAATTTATTGTACTGCCACTGAAAGAAATATACACGTGTATTAAAATTTGTTTGAAAAATCGTTAATCTTATATGGCATAACATATCCTTACAAAATCGCTTCAGGCCAATTGGGTTTAATGGCTTTATTTTTACAAATATAAGTTATCTTCAGGTGAAATTGCATTTGTGTAGTATACAATTTCTTATTAGCTTAACAAACTGTTTTTAATTCCACTTATGGTACTAACCAAATACTTACAGAAATAAAAAAGATTAATCTTTTTTAATCTAAGTTCTCAAATAACATGTAAAATATTTAATCATCCTCTTCTTCCATTGCTTCAGGCATTGTATTTCCTAGAACAATAAAAGTACCAATATGTTAAATAATCACTGAAGTACAGCACAATATACATTAATTGCACTATCTTTCAAATATAACCTAGTGTACCATTTTGTAAACGTTCTTCACTAGGCATGTGTCCAGCTTGAAGTAATTTACTCAGGCGTTGTACTTCTTCCAAAGAAGTAGCATTTGTAATAGCTTCTCTAATTTTGTTACGTTCTTCTGGAGTGGTTAATGGTTTATCTACAGATGCACCAGAACTCTGTGTTTTCACCTTCTTAGCTATTTCACGAACCATTTCCTTTCCTCTTTTACTTCTGAAGTAAGCAATTGCAGCCTCCCGTTCTTTCATTTTAATCTTTCTAAAGTCTAGGAGTCTCAGTTGTGGAAACCTATATACAACATATTGTCTGTACTGAGGCTTCGCAGAGACTGGATTTTGAAGCAAACACAGGTTGGTTAAATTTTTCAGTTGTGTTAATGGCTCCAAATCTCCAAGCTCTTGAATCATGTTTCCCGTTAACATAAGAGTTTCCAAATTTGGTATACAGTGTTCTAAGCCTTCGCCAATTCTAACAATACGATTATTATTGAAGAAGAGGGTTTTGATTCGTTTCAAAAGAGGAAATCCATCCAGTTTTCTAATATCATTGTCAGAGAAATCAATAGTATCAAACTGATCCTAAAAATAATCATGTACAGACAATATAAATAACAAATATGATTTAAGTAAAAAGAAGTTGATATTAAATGCACTAACTGTCAAGAACAATACCAACCAATGTTGCACCCAAGTTTTCAATTGTAGGTATTTTGTATCCTGCAACGTTGATAAACGTAGAATTAATAAGAATTTTGTGGTTATATCCTATCACTATACTTTATTACAAACCTCTGAGATCCAATTCACGATCCTTTACAGGATTTATGTATTGCATAGACTGCTGTATTAGTTCTGGCGTTAGTTTAACCATTTTGTAATAATACTGTTATTTGTTATGACCTCGCAAACTAATCTAACACGAGTATCTCGTAGACAACAACAACAAGTGCATAAAATGGTACGCAAGTTTGATATTCTTTTGTTGGCGAGACTGGCTTTGAAACAGCGCGCAATGATACCAATATAAGTTCAAATTATTGTAATTGCAAGATCGCATAACTTTTATGCATACTCTATTACGAATTTGGAAATTCAAGAATCTGAATATTTAAAAATTTTTTAATTTGGCAACTTGAAAAATTTAAGTTAAACAAATAGCTGTATTATTCTTTAGAATCTTAACTTATGTTAAAAAACGAAATAAACAGAAAGAACAACGATGACATAACCGAACAGAAAAAAACTGGAACGATGTTGCAAATTATTATTCGAGAAAATAGTTGGAAGACTTTAGCGAAACTATGGAGGTAATAATGTTTAACTTTTCCTTTCGCCAGTTACTTTTTTCCCACAGGCAAACCTAAAATATAAATCTTCCGGTTGTAAGACATAACGAGTTCGCAGTTAGCAAAAATATCTTAGCATTTTCCTTTCACTCAAAAAATGTTATTCAAGTTGAAAATCGTGTCGAAAAAAAGATGATCTTGAAATACAAATAAAGGGATCTTAAGTGATCCGATCGTTTAGGCATAAAATCTGGTCAACCAGATTGGCAAATAAGATTCATAAAAACAGAGTAAAACGTGCGAGCACAGAATTTAGAAAGGTCCAGTTACATTCTTTGCTAAACGACCGACCGTTAAGGCAAAAAGAGAAAAATCAACGGAACACTAGGAACCGCTAAAAAAAGACATATTGCAGTATCGCCACCGGCAAAGTTCGTCCTCCACCACTAATTTTCTAGCTCGTGTTTATAAAATTCTATTATCATTGATCTTCGTGGCCACTGTATATGTTAAAACGTGCATTATCCAAATATTTAATGTAACGTCAATATCGAAGTCCAAAAACTTTACGATGCACATTGAATATTCCGATTTCACCTCAAGGTCCTGTTTGACAATGAGTCACAGCGAAAGAAAGCACGAATGATACACCATCATCATGGAAATAATTGTAGCGATTATAACTCATGATCATAGTGCGTAACAATTACAACAGGTAGCGTTATAATGCGTGGCGACTGCAGCGCCTAAAGATGCGGCGATTGCAGCGCATGATTGTCACGCGCGAAGATAATCTAATACATAATCATTGTAATAATTAAATGCAATGTAACAGTGCGTTGCAATATAGAATAATGAAATAGTTCGAACACTGTTCAAAAAGACGTACGTTTAAATAAAATAAAATAATGTAAAATAGAAAGTTGTATAAAGTTTGAAAATATTTGAAAATATGTGAATACAAAGTCTGCATTGAAATCGAACTTCGTAATTGCAGTAGCATGTGGTAGTGGAATTTCACATTTCTAACCTTGAACGATCGGTAGTGCGTCGTCTCTAGAATGTTCGTGAGAGACCGGTATTCGCGTCAATGTGTCGAAACACTTTGCCCTAAGTAATTGGCGTTTTCCAATGCGGAAGCGAAGTAGGTGAAATCATTTACGTCCATATGTGTTCTGTTGCAGAAGGACCCACTCTCTCTGATCTAACGCTTCTGTGTAAACGACGGGGTCCACCTAAATTCTTGGCGCCAAAACGGTGCAGTGACAACAAAGTATTCGATAAAGCGATATTCATGCTATTTCGTAATCAGTTATGAAAACGAACGAAAAACCAAATAAATGTATACAGGTGACATAATGTGAAGGTTATTACGCTCATTAGAAATGAATATTGAAATACTAAATGTGTTTTAATTGACCTATGGTACAACCTTCTTTATTGTTCTCGAATCTGCGTAAAATAAGTTTAATACTAAACTAGCGGACATCTATTTTTAAATTAATCTAAATTTTATGATATAGATTTAGTTATGAGTCTAATATATTTTACAACTATTAATGACCTTTAAATTTCGTAAAATGTAAATGTGAAATTTCGTTAAACAGAATTAATTAATTGATGTGTAAATTTAAATAACTTGCAATATTTTTATTTCGAAAGAACACATGATGTCATTTTTCAGCGTCATTAGGCTCAGCGTTAGTAATTAATGTAAGTAAAAAATTTCCACCTGTGATTTACAGTAAATTTCAATAGCGACGAGCTTGTCTGTTTAACGTATCTGCAAATTGATTTACGAATAAATAAAACAAATTTCCATACGACATTGTCAATGACCGTCAACGTTTCATAATTCATAATAGTAAATTCGCTTTTTCTTCCATTTTTATTGAATTTTGTAGTCAGACGAATAAATAACGAGGTTAGAGTGGCATTGAACAAAGGAAAAGATTTACAAATCTTAGGCACATGGACTTGATTAATATAAATCTGCAACTTAACCCGAACGATTAAAAAGGTCACGCATTCCGGTAAATAGGTCAATATTAGCGATTCTAAGTTTTAGATTAAAAAGCCATTAAGGGATAATCAATTGATTAATAATTAAAATATTAAACCTACGCGTTCTCATTTTCCTGTGTGCATTTGTAGTTCATGTTTTAATTATAGTTGTTATACAACGTAAATTCCGATTATGATTTACATTTGAAGCGACTTGGTAGTCAAACTACTAATAATTTCATGGTTATTTAGGTTATGTTATGGTTCACTAGCAAATAATAAAGGTCAACTAAATAAATAAGGTTATAAATTCCAGAAGTTTTTCATTCATCTGAATATTATTTATAGGAAAAAATATGTAAAGACTTGTATTTTATTAAACCAGAATGTCTCAGCAACATTTATATTCTATAAAATATCGTCTCATTACTCGCCATATTATTAGACAATAAAAAAACTGCTTGCCAACTTTTTCTCCGACATTTTACTCGTTACTGGAAAAATAATGTTACGCAACATTACCGGAAAAGAGAATATATAGGAGGAATTATAACTCAATTATTGTTGTTGCTACATATCAAGAGTAAAATTATGAACATTTTACAAGTAACCGTTGAATAATCATGAAGCAGTTTAACATCATCAAGACTGTTGATTACAAACATGTTCTGGCTTCTATAAAAAAGCTTGTCTAGTTCCTCGTCTATGATTACAAAATAAAAATGGTCGTGTACATAACTTTATTAACACTTAATTGTAACGTTTCATCAAACTGAATAAAATTTGTACACTTACAGTTATAAAGTGATAAACCTATTCTTTTTACAGAATTAATCATGTGTACATAATTTAATTTAAGAATACATGAGTATGTAAACATTTGCGATTTGTAAGTAAAATATGTTGTACACTATAAAAAAGATTCGATTAGTCTAGTTTTTTTTCTACTACTTTACGCAACGACACATTTTTTGCTACACGGTTGCTGTCATCAAGTTCGTTAAATCGAGAGCGAGATAATAATCCCATCTTGCGATCGTTATTATCACCATTGCAATAATTTAACACCGATTCAGAAATGACTCGTTTCTTCTAGAATTGGTACCGGAAATGGTCGATTCTTACCGGTTCTTTTACGATCGCTCTTGCAACCATTTCGTTCTCTATTCACGAAGATATTTCGTTGCTCAACAAACGATTCTCGTTTATGGGAGTATTGCGATAAATTTAATACTGACTTAACGTTAATTCGAAGGATATTCAAGAGTAATTTAAACATAACATAAAGGTAACTTACAGGTTACATAAAGGTAATTTTTTAGATGAAAGTTAACTCGGAGATAGATCGATCTCAGAGATAACCTAACTTGAAGACAGCTTGAAGATAACTTCAGATTAATATATAGTGATAGACTCACATACAAGGTGTCTCATAATTCGTGTAGGTTCCTAAAATGAGGGGTAGCTGATCTTGAATAAGATTTCCCTTTGTAGAAATAAGGTTTGAAGCTTCGTTTTTGAATTATTAAAAAAAACACGAACCACTCAGAGCGCGAAGATTGCGCGCGCTCAGCCGCTAGGCTCGAAACTGTCGTGACTGCGCATGCGCAATCCTCGCGCTCTGATTGGTCCGCGTTTTTCTTTAATAATTCAAAAACGAAGCTTCAAACCTTATTTCTACAAAGGGAAATCTTATTCAAGATCAGCTACCCCTCATTTTAGGAACCTACACGAATTATGAGACACCTTGTATGTGAGTCTATCACTATATATTAATCTGAAGTTATCTTCAAGCTGTCTTCAAGTTAGGTTATCTCTGAGATCGATCTATCTCCGAGTTAACTTTCATCTAAAAAATTACCTTTATGTAACCTGTAAGTTACCTTTATGTTATGTTTAAATTACTCTTGAATATCCTTCGAATTAACGTTAAGTCAGTATTAAATACCCAATTTTTGCAAAGGGAAATCTTATTCAGAATCACGTCAGCTACCATTTCAGGGACCTACACTAATCATGAGACACCCTGTATATTGTATAATATATACAGTATATATTAATAGATTCAAAAGTAACTTAATATTAACTAAGTCATAAAAAAGCTAATACACAAAATTGACTAAAAATTAACCCCAAACTGCTAATTGTAAATTGCAAACAAGAAGGAACATCCTCAATATTTTGACCTCGTAAAAACTTGATATCCCACGCAAAATAGAACTACATCAAGCTATTTTTAACGATGTGCTTTTTAAAATAATGAACATAATTGCACGTGATGCTAAACGCATAATAATGCTAATACGCGTTCCTCGTTTGACGCAAAAAGACCAATCTAGACGAAACAGAAATAATGTTTGCAGTAATTATTGTCAAGAAATGTAATCGATTGCGATGAAAGTTTAATGAGAGAAAAAAAATTCACGCCAGATGTTTGGTTAACACCTGATGACCTCAGTTTACCTTGTTTTGCATTCTCGACGTAAAAGCTTGGAAAATACCATTCTAGACAATACCAGGATGGTCATTGCATCCGCGTCGATGCACCGTTTACTCGTTTTAAAAAAACACAGTGCAAATCGATAAAAAAGAAGAACGGTTCTTTATGTTTTTTTCTTTTGTGGGACGTCAAACGAGTGCCATATAAAATAACATATTTTCCTTTTAGAATGATTTCTTTTGTAAAGACGTAAGATTCTGTTTGTTGCATAATAATTTGTAATTTCATAACAAGATATAGTTGAAATGCTCGATATTGACGTATTCGTTAGTTGCTGCGTAGTATCAATTTTCCATCTGAAAAACGTGAATGAAATTATTCCATCAAAGAAGTTGACCTTCGGATTTCTTTCATGCTTACGTCTAGGAAATTTTGTAAACATTTCGATTGCGTGCACGTAACGTTTACAATTAAAATAGAATACTTTGTATGATCAAATATAGCGTTTTATTTGCGGATACTAATAATTTTCGTGATAAAAACTGGGAAAACAATATCGAATGACTTTCCTCGACCACGTCCCGTATTTCACTCATTTACGTCATTCGATAACAAAAAACGCGTCCGTGATTCGCTAATAAATTCGAATGGATTGCAACGAGTTCAGCTGTTTTTCATTCTGTTTTGTTAATTATCTATTAATTCCTTGCAGACAATAAATTGACGTAGTGTGAACTTCTTTGTATGTAATTAAGACATTTAAAAATAATCGTAACGAACCACCTGCTTGAAATTCATCAGCATAATTTTCATTTTAATTGGAAAGTAATGTGCTTAACCCTTGCAAGGTCAAAGAGAGTTGAATGGAGTCACGCGTACGTATTGTGTAATACGTTTAACTCATTAACGCGTACAAGGCGAATGCACGATGTTCAAAACATTCGATTCGTGTCGAATTACTGGAAGTTTGAAGAAAATCGCACGGTATAAAATTAGGAGGTGCGAAGATTTATTTCATGCAAAGTACGAAATTTTATGAGGATCACATTTTGGTAATTTGGAGGTCAAGTTTTAATTTTAGAATTTAGAAATTATTTCGAGTATATCCTTGTGTTTAAATGTATTTTTATCGTTGTCTTTGGGTTTTGATAACTTGCAGTTTGTAGAAGTTTCTTGCGAACTTCTTAGCGTTTCTGAAGTTCTGATACTTGTCCTG